TGTTCTTAACTACCAGTCAGCTCTCCTAAGAATATGTGTTTTGGAGAGCTCTATGTTGCATATTAACAATGTCAGAACGACCTACATAACTAAGAATATGTGTTTTGGAGAGCTCTATGTTGCATATTAACAATGTCAGAGCGACCTACATAACTAAGAATATGTGTTTTGGAGAGCTCTATGTTGCATATTAACAATGTCAGAGCGACCTACATAACTTAGAATATGTGTTTTGGAGAGCTCTATGTTGCAAACATCAGGACTACCTAGTTATTTTCAATTAGGATCATCACAGTTTTGAGAGGGAGATTATCTAAATATCACAATAGATTTCCAGCCTGAGTTTGCACTCAATTAGGATCGCAATTCTTTCAGAGGGAGTTTATCTAAATACCACAATAGGTTTACAGCCTAAGATGGCACTCAATTAGGATTATAAATCTCTCAGGGAGAAGTTATTTAAATAATACAATAGATTTCCAGCCTGAGTTGATACTCAGTTAGGATCGTAATTCTCTCAGAGTAAGATTATATATAAAGAAACTGCACAAAAATCTATTAGACTTATTTTTAAACAAATTAAAATAACAATAAACGTACATATCATTAACGATATACGGTCTTGTTCTGTAAGAATCTTATTGCAGCCATCATAGACCCCCTACCCTTCTTTGTAAAATGGTTTTACAATACACAGTTCAATGCGATGAATGTTAGTAATATACCTTTCACACAGGAGGTGGCGCTGTACCGCCTCAAAGGGGGACAAGTATTTAATGTAACATTTCGTAAATGTCGATATGTATAACGACGAATTCTTACTTCGAAGCTATCTTTTGTTCGATATAAGTAACTTCAATTTTTTTTAAATACGGTTATCACTGCGTGAAATCATGCGTGCGTTTGGATCTGTAGTCACAAAGCGTAAAACAGAGATGACACTCTTCAAATGGTTAATATGACTTTAAAGAAAGCCAACGAAAAACGTTACGTCACTGAAGCTTTAAAATCGATAAAATGGTGAATCTAAATTGCCAGTTGTTGCCTTGTGTGGCGTGTCACAGTTTCTAAAACAAACTCTACGAGTGTTTATTTAGTTCGCTTGTTGTTAAGTGCAAAGCTACACAAAGCTATCTGTATTGTGCCAACCGCAAGTATCAAAATCTGATTTTTAGCGTTATAAGCCCTTAGTCTTACAGTTGAACTACCAGAGGGCCGTTACGAGTCACTGATTATTTTCTTAATTAGATAACAATGTTTGGTTTTATGTTGGTCATGTATCCTCAATAAAACTCTACTGAAGAGAACAGTCTTGTAACTTCATGATATCTGCTGGTGTTTATGACTAGTAAACAAACACAAGCACCTTTTAAAATGGCTCGTCAAAACTGTTGATTTACGCTTGTTCGATCAACAAATATTGACACAGGATTAATAAGTGTTGCCCTCTTCGCTCGTTGTAACACTGTTGGAGAAATGGTTAATTATGTTATTTTAATATCGTTAGTCACCATATGATTAGTTATGCAGGCCGTTCTGACATTGTTAATATAACATTTTAGATT